CCTACGTTGAGAATCATTAATATAACTAATGAATGAGCAGCAGAATTGCGTTAGCGCTGATCTATTAGATAACCTGGAAAATACTGCAGTTATTAACTCTACTAATAATATTATCTTCGCCGTAGCTGACGTACCTCGTTCAAGAAGAAGCGCAAACGATTTCTTCCAGCAAAAGTAATCAGCATTTGCGTACTGATGATTACAATCTGAGCAAATATAAAAACAACACCGAAAATGATTAATATAAGCGTGTGTATTTAATTAGAAGAACATTGACAAGTGCCTTGTGAAATTGCAATACGAATGATAAAATAGACCAAGGCCTCCTAGGAGGTATATTTTAATTTGACAAGACGATCTAATTTCAACAGAAATTGTTTTCCACAAGGCAAGGGTATACGGTACAACCTACTGTGTCTAAACGCAATTGTGTACGTAAAAACAAGTAAACGGTGTCCAAAATGTGTCCGTTCAGTTGACTGTTGGTATGAATTGATGGCTTATCACATGTGGAAAATTGTTGGCCTAGTATTATTCATTGCTAACCCTTGGTGTATTTTATCCATTTAGAACGATTGCGTCCAAGGATGTTATGAAGGAGACTAGTTATCCTACTTTTGCATAGATGAATTTGATTGAGGTATTGATTCGAAAAGAATACTGTAACGTGAAGTCAAGTAATATATTGTAGATTGATTAATATAGCTACAATTGAAACTATCTTCATTGTGATCGAGGAGTAAAGTAGGTTGGAGTTTTTACAACTACTTTATTCTGATCAAGTACTCTTAAGGCAATCAAACAGTGCTATTCAAGTAAAATCTCGACTAATTGTAATGAATCATCACGAGTTGGGATGATAATACTATAATTTGTAGTAGTCTGTGGAAAACCAATACTAGTATACCATGATAACAGAGTAGAATATATCAATATGAAATCTGAACAATAACAACAAGAGGCGCTTGATCGTCAAGGTAAACCGACAGATGAAAGTGCTTGAGGATACGATCGATCCATGGTCATCACTATGTCGACTAGTACTATTTTAATAGGATTCTACCGTAGAGGTACTACAACAGGTTGATCGACCGAAGGAGAACAGTCCGTGTTGGCAGCTTTCTACGTCGTCCACTCTATTTCTAATTCAATTTCACTCTTGAATTCAACTACTTTATCCTGATCAAGCAAGCACTAGTACTTGTAATAAATCATCATGAGTTGGGATGATAATACTATACTAGCATACCATGATAACAGAGTAGAATATATCAATATGAAAACCGAACAACAACAACAAGAGGCGCTTGATCGTCAAGGTAAACCGACAGATGAAAGTGCTTGAGGATACGATCGATCCATGGTCATCACTATGTCGACTAGTACTATTTTAATAGGATTCTAACGTAGAGGTACTACAACAGGTTGATCGATCGAAGGAGAACAGTCCGTGTTGGCAGTTTTCCACGTCGTCCATTCTATTTCCAATACAATTTCCCTCGTCAATTCAACACTACTTCTACTAGACTTGGACAACTCGACAATATTGCTTACCGCGACAGCAGCGATGTACTGGAAAGCGATCGTGTAATCAAATGTATAGGACAGAAAATCGCACATAATCGCACATACTAAACACGTTATTCCAAGGCTTAACATTGCGATACCATATCGAATCGATTGGCGGACGCAGTAATCAAATTGGAGAGCATTGCTACCCGAATTCATTGCAAAATGGAGGCGAAAAGTTTGCAATCTTTCCTAAATTGGAGTTAGAAGATGGCTCATGACTCAAGTCTGTGATTAGTATAGCAAGATGACGGACTGATATTGACAGTGAATTGTATGGTCGCTCGCTGGTACTTGGGCAGTTGTTGTCATGTGGGGTTAGTCGATTATGGGCGGTGGTCGCGATGCTATAGTAAGTACAGGCTACTGCTTGTGTCATGTCATCGTGATGAATCACTGACTGGTTATGTTGAAGAGCGTGTTGCGATACGAAATCGTTTGAGATACTTTTTATGCCGTATGTAGGCCGAATGTTGGTGTACGTATGCGTACATCAACAGTCAATCAAAATGAGTGAATGCTACATCATACTGTCTCCCCATAGTAATCCTTATAAATGGATTGCTTTAGTATTTTTCATTATTCACGCCCTATTTCTACAAGTATTGACTATTGAGTACTAGATCAGTTTATATGAGATGTATTTCAAGTTACTGACTAAAATTAGTCCATGTTCAACGTTTTAATCGGAAAGATTAGAGTGCGTCAAGAGTTGTGCAATTTTCTTAGTATAGTGTAGCAAATGCTTGCTGCATGCTGATATTAAACGTGTAGAATTGCAATACGAAAGTAAAGTGTATCATACTGTTAAGACACTACGTCGATGGAAAGTGATCTTTACCAATAGATTCTCCCAATACTAATCCTTATAAATTAATTGCTTTAGTATTTTTCATTATTCACGCAATCTTTCTAGAAATATAGACTATCAAATACTAGCTCAGTTTGTATGAGATAGATTTCAAGTTGCTGGCTAAAGCTAGACGATGTTAAACGTATTCATCGGAAAGATTAGAGTGCGTCAAGAGTTGTGCAATTTTCTTAGTACAGTGTAGCAAATGCTTCATATATGCTGATATTAAACGTGTAGAATTGCAATACGAAAGTAAAGTCTATCATACTGTTAAGACACTATGTCGATGGAAAGTGTTCTTTACCAATAGATTCTCCCAATACTAATCCTTATAAATTAATTGCTTTAGTATTTTTCATTATTCACGCCATCTTTCTAGAAGTATTGACTATTAAGTACTAGATCAGTTTATATGAGATGTATTTCAAGTTTCTGGCTAAAATTAGTCGATGTTCAACGTTTTAATCGGAAAGATTAGAGTGCGTCAAGAGTTATGCAATTTTCGTAGTATAGTGTAGCAAATGCTTAGTGTATGCTCATATTAAACCCCTAAAATCGTAATACAAAAAAATGCGTATGATACTGTATAGGACACTATATGCTTGCAAAGTCTTCTCTACCAGTTCTATCGCCCAATAGTAATCCTTATAAATTGATTGCTTTGGTGTTTTCATTACTCACGCCCTATTTCTACAAGTATTGACTATTAAGTACTAGATCAATTTGTATGAGATAGATTTCAAGTTGCTGGCTAAAGCTAGACGATGTTAAACGTATTCATCGGAAAGAATAGAGTGCGTCAAGAGTTGTGCGATTTTCTTAGTATAGTGTAGCAAATGCTTGCTGCATGCTGATATTAAACGTGTAGAATTGCAATACGAAAGTAAAGTGTATCATACTGTTAAGACACTACGTCGATGGAAAGTGATCTTTACCA